CCTTACTCCAGGTAGTTGACCAGCTCCAGGTTCTTGTAGAGCAGGTAGCAGAAGTGGGAGACGGAGAAGGCGTGCATCCAGTTGTGGTAGGGGGGGTCGCGGTAGCCCTTCTTCACCATCAGGCAGAACCTTGGCGGGGGGTAAAGGGGCATGAAATGAGGGGGGGGGTCTTCACCCCCATGGGGACCCCCACCTGCCCTGGAGTTCCTGAGGGGATGGGGTCCCACCTGGTGAGCGTCTGACGGTCCATCTTGTAGGTGTTGATGAAGTTCATGTCCTGCAGCATGCTCAGGATGGCCTGCGGAGGGGACAGGGAGGGTGGCAGGGGGGTGACAATGCCCCCCCATCCCCCCCAGCACCCCTTGGGGTTGGGATGCATGAGCTGAGGGCAGGTGGGGGACGGTGGCAGTCGGGGACCTCACCATGGAGGTGTCGTCCTCGGGCAGCGAGCGCGGGGTGTAGGTGAAGCTGGCGAAGTTGGGGTCGATGGTGGAGACGGGCTGGATGCCCTCGCTCAGCAGCTTGGTGTACTCATCATCCGACACCTGCAGGGGACGTCACCGGTGTCACCGGGTCCCCAGGGTGTCCCCAAGCTGTCCCCTGGGCCACCTCGGCCCCAGCAAGAGCAGAGAGCCCCGGGGTGTCACCACTACCACCACCTCGGGGTGGAATGTGGGGACACTGTGCTGGCAGCGGGGGGTCCCAGCTCGTGTCCCCGTCGCTGTCCCCGTGTCACCTCACCTTCATGTGGTACATCATCATCTCGTTGGCCAGGTGGCTGCGGTACTGCGCCTCGTTCACCTTCTTGTACAGCAGCGACTGCGGGGTGCGAAAGGAGGGGGGAATTGAAATACTGGGGGTGGGCAGAGACCCCTCAAACCCACCCAGCACCCCCCAGCACATCCCTGCTCCCTACGTGTGCCCTCCCCATCCTATCCCATCCCCACAACCACTTGTCCCCGAGGAACAAGGACCACACACACATCCCCCCTTCCCATTCCCCTCGTCCCCCCCCAGGTTGGGGACCCCCCAACACCCACATGGGCGATGCTGATGCCGCAGTAGATGGAGAAGGCGGTGGCCAGGTCCTCGTCGAATTTGCTGAACCAGGGGCCGTTGATCTTGTTGACCAGCTCCGCCACTCCGATGACCTCTGGGGACAGAGCAGGGGGGGACAGAGGACAGGGTCAGGCTCATCTGCTGGGGACAGGATTGTGTCCATGAGCTGGGGGACAGGGTTGTGGGCACATGCTGGGGACAGGATCATGCCCATCAGCTGGGGGACAGGGTCATGGGCACGTGTTGGGGACAGGATCACATCCATGAGCTGGGGGACAGGGTCGTGGCCACGTGTTGGGGACAGGATCATGTCCATCAGCTGGGGGACAGGGTCGTGGCCACGTGTTGGGGACAGGGTCACGTCCATGAGCTGGGGGACAGGGTTGTGGGCACGTGCTGGGGGTCCATGCTGGGCCCAGTGGGCCAAGATGGCACCTATGTGCTAGGCCCAAGATGGCGCCTATGCACTGAGGCCAAGATGGCACCAAGGTGCCGGGGCCAGGCCCACACCCATACACACTGTCCCCACAGCCCCGGTGACGTCCCCACGTGTCCCTCAGCCCTC